TTCAGTTTGAAGTTGTCCATTTTCAGCAATCGACTCTTGGATCACCATCCAAGTGGACTGGAGACAAATATCTCTGTAACAATAATTTATGAACTCCTACCATAAAAATAGAAAATGTAACGTGATCAATTCTGAGGGCTGTTTTAGCTGATTTTATGTAAATAAGTTGCATATATTCTTCTCATATGCAAGGAAAGTAATTTGCTCTGTTTGAAGTTTTAAAGTACTTTGTGCTCAGCTTTGTGCCTTCAGAAGCAATATGTGCATGGACTGTGCGGATGGTATTTTATGATCTTTATGATATATATAAACAGGCCAACCACTTCAGTAAATTTTACTCAGTCTAATGTGGTCCTGATCTCCATTATACTTTAGATTTGCCCATTTGGAGTTTCATGTTCTAAAAGTAAGTTTGTAGACTTCCTGTTAATTTTCATAATTTAAAGTGTTTTTCTTTTGATTGGTTTTGTGCTCTACTCTCAATAATGTATAAGGTGAACATTTATTACATTTATATGCTAGATTAAATGGATTCACACCATTTTTGTCAGGCTAGGATAAAGGTATTGGTGGAGGTAGGCTGAAGTTCATTTGATATTGAGATTGAATATGGGCTTTATTTGAGAAATTTGAGAGGGGGTTATATTTAAAGTAAATACAGTATTGCTGTTCAATCTATATAAGTAGATGTGTCAATTCCTTCACAAGAATTCCCTCTATAGCCAAGCAATAAAAAAGGACTGGTGACTGAATCAAACATATTAATAAATATCATAATTTGCATTCTTTGTCCTAAATTAATGTTCTAAAACTGCTCTTCTCTCAGCTAATAAAGAAATAAGAAAACCTTCAATTATAGAAATGTGAATTTACAAAGTACAGAGATAATAGCAATACAATCATTTTCTTCACTGAGAAACTGAATATTTAGAATGATTTTTCTTCTCAAATTCTAAACAATAGGAATGACCCCCCCCCAAAAAAAAATATTAGGTTCTCAATTTTCTTAGTTGAGAAAGTCAACTTACTATAGTGTAATACATAAGAGAGGTATAAGTAGTATGAATAGAACTGAATTCACCGCTACTTGCTTTACTATTGGGTCTAATACTATTCATTAGAATGGATAAGTCTTGAAGAAATGGGCGATTCATAGCCACACAAAGAGAAAACTATCACATGTGAATTCAAGTAAAACAATCCATACCTCATGATTTACCTCTATTTACTTATTTATTAAATACATCTAGTAATATTATTTAGAATCTTTCATAGTGTCAATATGTCCACCAGTGGTGGGTTCCTACTGGTTCGGCCGAACTGGTAGTGGTTTGGCGGCCTGGGTCGCTGGAATCAGCAGCAACCCAGGCCTACCACACCCCTGAACCGGTTCCCCGGTCGGCGCCATCTTGTTTTTCACTTCTGTGCATGTACAGAATGCTTTTAATTGCACTGCGCATGGGTACACAGTGCACATCAAGCGCACAAAGTGCACACACAGTAGTGCCTGCTGGAACACACCCCCTATGACCACCCCTATTCATTTAAAATTTTGGAGTCTTGGTAAAAGCATAATTAAATGAAAACTGGCTTGTTTAAATTCATGAAGATTTATCAAGTATTCATTTGATAGAATTGGACATTTCATCTGTTTTTACAGAAATCTAAATCAACTGCAGTTCAGAGGTGAAACCGAATATGATATGGAACAGAATGCAAGTGTTAGATTTTTATCAGATGTTTGGTCACTATTATTTGCTAGCATATATTTACTCTCCCAAACTGAGCAGCACCGTATTCTTAAATAAAAAAAAATTGGTTTGCTCCTATTTCACCGAAAAATTATACATATGTAAATTAAACAGAGATATTGGATATCTTATTTTTGTTTTATCTGCAGGTACATGTAGCACAATTTTAAAAAGTGTTAAATTTTAAAAAGTTTTTAAAAAGATACTCCCGTATATCATGTTAAATGTATTTAACATTACAACCACACAAACCTATAGTCTTAAGGGAACAATTATAAAAATAAAGTTTAAAAAATCAAATATTGCAAACAAATATTAAGACTATATCTAGCTATAAAAAATGAGAAGTTGACCAAGCTCCCCTTATTTGATAGCAATAAATTTGTGCAAAAAATGTCTAAGATTTTTATATTTCTTTAAAGCACATATACTCACAAATCCAACACTTCTCATTTATACAGGAAATGAACATTTGCTTTACATTTTAAAAATACAGTAATACTCTTAACAAAGGTAATTCACATTACTCTTTACATAAATATTACAAATTCAAATTACTTCAGTAACAGCTTTCAATTGAACACTTTGATTCCAGTACTTATAGTTCCATTTTTATCTATAAAGGCATTACATTATTATATATTACCTGCATATCAAGAATGAAATGACTTAATTTAAAAAAACTTAAAATATCAAAAATTAATTTTACAGTTACTTTGAGATGAAGTTACTTCTCTGTTATTTGTAATCATGAATATGTTAACTCTACATGCTTTAAACAAATCAGTAACTTCTGAAAAATCATTCGAGCATGATAGATACCAGTAAGATTAAAAGCTAAGTCAGCTTTGTAACAAGAAACCAACAATGTGGAGTTACATTCATAGTTAAGACAGAGAGTCATTTTGGTTAAAGCACCACACTAAAAAGCAGGGGACTCTTGAGTTCCAGTTCCACCTTAGGCACGAAGTCAGCTGGGCAACTTGGGCCAGCTTACTCTCTCTTACTCCTAGGAAGGTAATGGCAAACTACTTTAAAAAAATGTCAAGACAGCAAAGGACTTGTCCAGGCACTTGTCAGGAGTCAAGACTAACTTGAAGATACGGAGAAGAAAATAGGTAAGATACTGTCAGTGTAAACAGAAGAGTTGGGGCCTTCAACTCAATCTTGATTGCAATTTTGGGGGAACAGTTTCTGAAATATTTTGCTACTTGCCTTTTTTTCTAGGGCTGAGAGAGTAATTGCCTCAGTCACTTGGTTATTGTATCTAAGGCAGGACAAGAACTCCGGTCCTCTGCCTCTAATCTTACCTCTTAGGTCACTAAACCTACTGGTAGTCTTCAATTTATGACCATAACTGGAGCTGTAAAATTTGTTAAGCAGCGCAGTTTTAAGTGAGATGTGGCCTGAGTTTTATGAGCTTTTTGCCTGTAAGCAAATCACTGTGGTTGTTAAGGCAAACATATGACTCTGACTTGCAACTTTCCCTACCATCTTTCCCATTGACTTTATCAAAAGCTGGCTGGGAAGGTCACAAATAGTGATCACATGACACTTCCAACTGTTGCGTGAGCCAGGGGTAAAATACTCACATCACAATTATATGACAGACCGATTTCTGTAATGGTTGTTAAGTGCAAGGAGTGGTCACAAGCCACTTTTTCCAGTGCCGGTGTAACTTCAAAGGGTCATTGAACAAATGGCCATAAGTCAAGCACTGCCCATATCTTTCAGACATTGTCTCTGAAAATTTAGAGAGTAGGAAGACTCCTTCGTTAACATAAATGTGGAACTTTAATGTAATCATATTCCTTATTTTAGGAAAGCATGCAAGCATCCCTATTTTACATTACTAATAATGTTCTGAATAGGCCCAACCACCAATTTTTATAGCATTTTCCCCATTTGGTCAAAGTCACAAATTTGCATTTGTATTTAATCCAATTATAGTGTAAACTTACAATGGAGTGTTCCAAAACATAGCAGCTATCATGCCGAAAACTAAAACACATCTACATTTTTAGGACCATCTTTGTAATCGTTATTTTAATGGAAAATGCTCATACAAAGAATTTAAAACGGTACGGTGTCATACATTTTTACCTAACAACTGCATGTGTATTTCATTTCAATCTTTAAAAAAGAATATCTTCAGGCTGAACTGATCAGAATCCATGTTTATGCCTCTGCTGGTTTTAAGAAAATCAGAGTACTTTCTATACATGCAACGATTTAAATATTCTCTACAGCAGCTTTAATATAAAAATAAATTTATACAATTCATTTATCACATTTTTGCAGCCTAACAATATACTTAAATATTTTTATTACAAACAACTGCTATGCATAATTTTTGTATTTAAAATACTGCACAATGCAAGAAACTATTGCTGTTTAAAACTCTAGCTACCATAATATATACTGTATATTAAAATAAAATCTAAGACTTCATTAAGGCATTATTTCAAATATTTAAAAGATAATAATGAGATCCTGGATAACTGATTCAAGAAAATAGATTAAGGGTTAATATTTGTCTACTACAAAACGTAAGTTTTTAATGATTATATATCATTCTGTGCATATTTCTAATATCAGCATATGCTTCCAGCATTTATCAGTTTCTTGATTAGTGTAACAAGGTGCTTTAAAATAATTCTGTCATAAAATTTCTTTTGCTGCTAGTTTCATATGGCAAAACAGTAGTGTGACTATTAAATTTCTAATTAACAGTACCTGAATATAAGGGAAAGAGAATACCCATTTAATGCACTTTTTCACTTTCTTGCAAAAGTTCTAAATATCTCACAACCAGAATGTTTAAGTATTTCATAAATACCTTCCTTGTTACTCTCTGGCTACTCAGTTCATTAACAAGAACCATGCTTCTTAGGAAGCCAATTTAATACACTTGTAGAGAATGTAGTATTTCACACTGTGAAAGTTTTGTCCTGGAGCTAATCAGTTCACAGGGAAGTTATAACTACAAAATGACATCAGACACAAAAGCCTGGAAAATTGCTATAACATGTAGTCCATCTATATCAACCCATAAAGCTCTCTATATATCTTTCACTTGAAAGGGAGCATTTCAAAACTGAAGTGTTTGGCACACTTCTGATACACACATACAACTTTGTATTTGTGTGTGTGTGTGTGTGTGTGTATGGTGTGTGTACATACATAAAGTATAGTATATACAGTATGTGTGTGAATACACACACAGTATATATATTTATATATACACACAGACATATATATATATATATATGTCTGTGTGTATATATAAATATATACTGTACATACATACTAAAAACAATATCAATGTCATACTGAGGTAGTACACTGTATGTAGATTATATTCAATTTTTACTTAGCAAGCTTGAAAGTGCCTTTACATGAAAAAATGAAGTGCATGTAAACAATTCATATCACTAAAATTTTGCATTTATGACAAACTTTACATAAAGAACACAATTTTCATAAGGAGACAAAAACTCTCAAGGCTTTTATATAGATCAAACTTATCTTATTATTGCATGTATCCTTTGGTGCGTACGAACAATCCTTACATTTCAATCATTTCTTTAAAGCAGTACAAATTACTGTACACACTTGTGAGGATCAATTTATCTGTGAAAGGGCTTATCTGAGATTATATATCATACTCTCCATTTTAAAGTCTGTGAATGATTTTTTCATGAGAATTCAACATTCAAAATAAATTTAAATAATGATGCTTAAAAATGTTCTATTGTCTTAATATGGGAGTTGCAAATGGATACATGATTTAGGTTTTTATAACCTACAAAAGTGCTATAGTTAGTATGAAAATTTAACCAACTATGGAATCAGGTCCAAAATCTACTTTGAAATATATTTATGGTATTTTGAAATGTTCTAAATCAAGTCATTTAAAAAGAGATGGTATTCATGCTTTTTTTTTTTAAAGATGCATCTATTTAGCATATGAAAGCAATTTAAATATTTTATAAGTTCCTCATTTACAAGAATAGCCACTTTGATTGAACTTATGCAAAATCGGGATTTCCACAAGCATAAAACCATCTTTGATATTTCTTGATCACGCATGCACATGCAAGGGACAATTTATTAATGTGTACTTTCCAAATGAAATGTAGCTAAAGTATGTAAACTTAAACATCACATTGGGTTGGAGTTCTAAGGATTTATATTCATTCCCAAATCATTCTTATTACATTACACATTTCCAATATTAGATTTATGCTTCTGTTGAGCTGTGGGATGATTTGATTCAGAAGTGTGATGGTAAGACGTGTCCAACTGCATTCCACTGGATAACAAAGATCTCTCTTTGTTTGACCCACTAGTATCTGCAAAATACAGTTTTGGTCTCTGGTGGTATTTAATTCTATAAGTATCGGTCATACAGTTATCAACGGAAAAATAAGTAGTAAGCGATATAACATCATTTGCATTTGCATCCAGGGAACTAGAATTTGGTTCAGTAAAACAAGTCCGTTTGTTTAAAGGATTATTGGATACAGTGCATAAATCCTTTCCTAATAAACTCGGAGAAAAACTCATCTTAGAGGACTCATTGCAATGAAATGCTTTCAACCTTTCTTCATCTGCAAATGAACTTGCTTCTGGTATACTTTTTGAAGTAGCAATAGCAACATGCTTTTCAATTTTTGGATGATCTGTAAAGTTCAACTCTACAGTGGATTCTTGTTCTATGCCGTGCAAATGGGATAGAGTATATTTCTTTGGTGGTAAAGGTGGTGGAAGATTTTGGTAAACTGTTTCTGTTGCATCATCATATTTGTTACTGTACATGCTCGTTTTATGTCCAGTAGATGGAGTAGATTCAGTACAGCAAGGCTTGGGTTTGCTCTGTTGTAAGAAAAATGCAAGAATAGGAGTAGAATTAACGGTCTTTGTATGAGATACTGGGCAGGGGACTTGCAAATGAGTAGATGAAGATTCACAGTTGTTTTGGACTCTTTCAGACATGATTCCATTCTCACCAATGTAAGAAAATACTGAATTGTCAGCACTACAGATATTTGTCTCAGTAGGTACATTTTCACCAGACCGTGGTAAAGAGCTTTGTTCATTGATTGAACTGTTTTTTATTTCTTTTTCAATGTGATCTTTTAAAGCTGTCTGCACTGTTAATGTAGGTAAAGACTTCTTATTGCAATCTGGCATATCAGTCCTAGAAAGCAAAATATTTAAGGATGTAAGTATTAATATAACTATTGCAAAATAGTAAATATAATCCAATTCTATTTTTAATTACTAGAATAAAGTAATCTTTGTTATTTCATGGTGGGGTTGAGGTAAGCCTGTAAGCTTTAAAGAATCTAGTCAGATGTAAACATGGTAATATTGCAGACGCCAGAATTTTGTAAACAAGTATACAGGTATAAGCAGACTTTATATTCATGACTGAAATCAGTAAAAACAGCAAATACTCTTCGGAAAGAAAAGAATCAGCCAGAAACCATGATGGACAGTAAACTGGTACAGGGAAATTGTGGAAGAAACATTCAGATTGTCTGTCTTCATTAGCTGGGCATTAATGTCTAGTTGCCAGACAAGGCCAGTGCTTCAGGTTCCATGAAAATATAACATTTACAAAAAAATACAAATATTCCAATAATAATAATAAATAAATAAATTATAATAAAGACAGAAAGTTATCAAAATATGGGTATGCTTCTCCATTTTATTGCATATTGTATATATCTATACAATAAAGCAATGGTTTTCAAACTATTCCATAGACCTCGAGAGTTTTGTAAGACCCTAAGAACAGAACAAAAAGGGGGGGGGGTTCTCTGAAACAGTCAATTTTCTATCATGAGAGCTTTAACTTTTGATCAGTAGTTCCAGGTTTAGTATTTTTTAGCTTCTATGGCCTGAAAAAGTTTAAATCCCCCTGAAAAATAGTACTGATTTTAAACCCCCTGAATGAATTGAAATGAATTGACTCTTACACAGTCAGCGGTATCTAGGAAAGATGTTTTAGGATACAATATCTGATTCCTATTCCCAAACTAATAGATTCTGTGCTGGTCAATGTCTCATTTTCATATGTATGTCTAGCCATTCGATATAATCTGCACTGTCCAATAGCCAAGTTCTAATCTTTATAAATAACAAGGTTTGAGAATGAGCTCACCCTTACAAATTAACTGTGGGACAATAAAGAGCAGTGATTGGTAGATTTCCCTGTGTTGATATTCTATCCATCCAGGGTCACCAGCCAGCAGGACAAAAACCATCAATTGTTCTATTTACTGTGAGGCAGGATAGACATGGATAATTTTGGGCAAGAGTCAAGAAGATTTTCCTTTTTGTAGTTGCCTAAGTAACAGGTTGCTGCTGCTAGGTGTTCAGTTCCAGCAAACTGTCACTTGTGTTATTTCTGAAAGTATGAAAGCTGATAATGGGGGAACAGTTCTGCGAAAGCTACAGGCAAATAGTCTGAAACCAGACTAGCTTGGTTTAAAAAAAAAAGATAGATGGAAATTATCTGTTATGCCAAAAATAGAGTAACTTCAGGCCCATTACACTGCACGGGCAGGAGTAAAGGTCCAAAAATATGGACATTGTTTTTATTATAAGCGGAACTTGTATTTGATAAATAGCAGTTGCTGGAATTCTTTCATAATGGTTTCATTAATTTAACAATGCTCAAATCAAAATATCATAGGAGTAAAAGCCAGCCATTTAAAAAAAATGAATTATAAGCCAGTTATATTAACAGCTGTTTCAGGGAAAGTGGTAAGGGGAATCAAAGAAAAAGGAATTAAGAACAAAGAGGAAGATTTGCTGAATAAAAATTGGCATTTTGCAGATAAATCTTGTCTCACCCACTTTTAGAGTTTTTTCATAGCACCAACAATGAGAAAGACTGAAGACAGTCTTTTAAAAAGTTTCTAATTAAAGGCTTTTGAGTAAATGTAGTGGCCATGGACTGTGAATAACTCTGCTTTTGTCAACAGCTAACTGGCTAAAAGCAAAGTAAAAATTAATAGGCAGTTTCTAAATGGAGCAAAGCAAGAAAGGGAGTTCTTTAAGGATTTCTATTGGTTTTAATGTATGAATGATGTATGAATTTAAGCAGTGAGCTGGTGAAATTTGAAGATTATAGTAAGCAACTGAGAGGGAACAAAATCAAAAGCCATTGAAAGGACTGATTTAAATCAACTGAACATAATTCAAATTTAGGAAGTATGAAGTGATGCATCCTTGGGCAAAAATCTCTAACTTCACTAACACCTTGATTGATCATTAGGAGACTAAAAGTAAAAATGCAAACTTTATGCACTTCTATATTTTCTATATATAGTTTTGGTTGTACCATTTGAAAAAAGATATAAAGGCCTAAAGACTAAACCATATGAAGAACAGCTGCAGGTTTTGGGTTTGGCTAGTCTAAAAAAAAAGACTGAATGGGTGGGGGGAGGCATGCATGGCAAGAGCACGGGGGATTGCATGTGCATATATTCACATGTGTAATATTGATTTTATCTGGTATTGGAAAAATAGAAGACTTCATATAACAGTATGGACCTTCGGCAGCAATGGAGCCTGGTCATTATGTCATAAGTTGTAAGGGTCCAAATTCAAATCATGTGACCAACCAGATTTTATGACTTTTAGTGGTCATTAAGCAAACACTGGAGTCATTAGGTGAACTCATTTTTCACTATGGGGTGTTTTTGCTAAAAATTCAAAGTAAAGATCAGGTTTTGCAGTGACCGCAGGATGCTGCCAACAGCCGTAAATGAAGGTTGGTTGCTAAGCACCCAAACAGAGTATTGTGGGGAGGGGGGGGGGCAACCCTCAGAATTTTGGAACTAAGTCATAAGTATCTTTTGGGGTAAAAATTACCTTTGTATCTGCAGATGAGAAATTGATGAGAAGTTAGATGGCTTGTAGTTAATATGCATATTAACTTCACCTTTCTTCAGTACTGAAAAACAGTGATTATTATTTACTTTCAACATATTTCTTTATAGTTTACTTATGTTAGACTGGTACAAACAAAACCTTCCAGCATAACACTCATAATTTCAAAATTCAAGGAAAAAGTATCAACATTTGTTCACATATGTTTTCCAAAATTATCCTTTGAAATACCATAATTAATACCATTTCCCCAAAAATAAGACCTCCTCAGATAATAAGCCCAATCAAGCTTTTGAGCGCATGCTAAAATAAGCCTTCCTCTGAAAATAAGCCCTCCCCGAAAATACTGCAACACAGCAGCAGCCATGAGGTGGCCATGCTCACCGCCTCCTGTACTTCAAAAATAATAAGACCTCCTTGAAAATAAGGCCAAGTGCTTATTTTGGGAGGTCAAGAGAAAATAAAACCCAGTCCTATTTTTAGGGAAATATGGCAGTGAATAACATGTAACATACAGTGGGGCAAAAAAGTATTTAGTCAGCCACCAATTGTGCAAGTTCTCCCACTTAAAAA